CGTCTCTGCAGACGCCAGAGAATCCTGCCCGGACCAGAACCTGAATCTTGTTCTTGACATTTGTTTGAAACTTAAATAAACTCTGTTAAATCTTTTACCAAGTCTCCAGTGGTGTTCTGCATGTGGGTTTATCTCTAAACCGATCATGACATGGTTTAGTTTAGTTTAGTTTGAAATACAATTATGTGGACATTAAAACAACATCTCCCATAATCTATACATATACATATATACAAACACACATATACACATATATATGTACATATACATATATACCCATATACATACACAGAAACAATCCAAACTAATCAAAACAAACTACAAAGCACAGCAAGTGAAGACGACTCTGTACTCCCTCACAGTCTTAATCGTGTTTTACCTCTATATTTAATAAATGTTCTTTCAATGCTCTTTTAAATTTCCTTAAATCAATGTATACAATGTTATTTATTTAGCTCTGACAGTATGAATTGTAGGTAATTACAAGGCAGAAAGAATGTTTGGTGAGAAAAGAAAAATTTGTTTCATAACAGTAGATTTTGTTACAACAGAGAGCTCATGCAAAGTAAAACCCAAAGCATGAAAATATAGGAAAACAATTTGAGGCACATCAGTTGAATATATTCTGACTCATCTGGAGCTGTGGGGTTTTTCTGTTACCGCGGTATAAACTTTGTTATGTCCTTTCCCTTTAGGCTTGAGTCACTTTTGCTCCCTGAACAAAGACTCCAATTTTTTTTATTTTTTTATTGTAGAGTCACAAAATGCTTCTAATGGGGAGACTGGTGAAAACTTTGGGGAAAACAAGATCACTCTCACACTCAGCATGTTCCCTATAAGATATGTTGTTTTTTTCCCCCAAAATAATCATATTCTGCTTTTCCTGACTACCCATTATTTTCTACACATGTCACTGCTTTTCTGTTTTAAAGATGCATGTGTCTCAAAGTCCCTTTAGGCAAAAATCAACTAAAGTAAAATAGTTTAAATAAACAATTTTGTGCTCCAATAAAAATTCAGTTTGGAAAACTTTTATTTAACTATGTTTCATACTTTAAGACCTTTGTTTTCTGACTTTAAACTACATCAATTTTTAAGCTTTACTGTAGAAAAATAGAACATCTCAAATCTGTTGCAGTGTTTTTGAATCATCAGTCAAGTGGAGTGAACAGGGAGGCTTTCACTGCTTGTTTTTGTAGCGATCTGTTACAGTTCGTCTGTGTATTAGTCGAGGTTTCCCCCACAGTCCGCAAACAGTACGATGAGGTCATCGTTATGGGTTTAAACCCAACGTGGGCCTAATCTGTAAGATAAGGGCTGGATTTGGATTTAGCTCTAAAAAAGGGTTACAGAGCTGTAACTGCTTAGTCTCTGGGGTCATACAGAATTTCGACAACGAAATTCTCAGTCATTCATTAAACATTCAAGTTTCATTACTTTTAACTCTGATTCATGATCTGTATTATTAAAAACATGCTGGATTTTTCAGACTTTATATTTTCTTTTTTTAATACCGCATGAAAACTACAGATTCGTCAGACCAAAATAAAGTCTGAGGCATTTTTCTGAAGCTGTGCAGGAGTTTCCAAAACAGGGGGCTGTGAAAATTTCACTTTGATCAGAGGCACTTCATGTACTTTGCACAATGGGTGAGCCCCTCCTGCTGAGCAGCCCTCTCTTTTACAAAAGCGTTTTTAGATTAAATTATAATTTTATATATATTAGCATTTTTTTAAGTATGTACAGATTTGTATTAAAAAAATAAATCTCTAACTGTGTTTTATGACTTGTTTAGAGTAGCTCAACCCAGTGCTGGACATGCCCAGCTATTATAGTTTGAAGAAGAGGTTATCAAATGCAGATTTTACTGTTGATGAGATCCTAACAAAAAAAAAATGTCATATTACATTTTCCCAACTAAGATCCATGCACTGCAAAAAAATTTAATCTAAATAAGTAATATTTTCTTAAAATAAGTGCATTTTGTCTTGAATTAAGGAGGTAAGCGAGACACTTTCCAATGAAACAAGACAATTTACATTTAAAATAAGAAAAAGCAACTGCATTGTCTTATTACAAGTGCATATAATCTAATTATCGTATTTTAAGAGTAAAAATACTCATCCTATTGGCAAATCATCCCATTAACCTACTAAAATTAATGGTAAATACACTTGATCTAATCATTATTTTACTTATTTCTAGTTAATTTCTGCAGTGTGCAATTTACTGAAAGAGCAGCAATAGAAAACTTGTTTAAACTTGTGTTAAAACATGGATGCCCCCCTTGTTTTAGGTGTCATGTTGCTGATAATGAAAACTGCTTTACAAAACACAGAACGGTACTTTTTATTTTGGATAACCAGCTGTTTACAGCCTTTCATTATAATTTAAATCGATTAAAGTTGTTGAAAGAATAAGGATTACATCGTGGGGGAGGTCCCTTTCAGGTGCCAGCGAAAAAATAGGGTCAGTAGAGATTGCAGACATAAGATAATAAAGGAAAACCTGCCCTTCATCTCCAGGCTGTGGCAGACGGAGCTGGCAGCTTATGCGGCAATTAAAGCGTCCTCCATGCACAGGGCGTTAATAGGTTTTGAAGGGATTTACATTCTGCTGTCCAGTCAAATGCTAGATGCCTTGGGAATGACATCATTTTGATCACCTCACATACAGGCTGACCTCCTCCTCCCTGTTTTACAGTGAGGTCTCAGTCACACACAAACCCCTCTGCGCTCTGTACCTGAGCTGGGCCCCTGTCTCACCGGGCTCTGTGCGTAACGGCGCAGCTCTTCTCTGATTGGAGGAATCCCTCCCTCCTTCCCCTCCCATCTCGCTCTTGCTCCTCATCAGTCCTGTTTACTATATGAGACCATGGTATAAATTCCTGAGTGTGCGCAGACTGTGTCCTTAGAAGGTGATGGAAAGAGGGAGGTGTTTTATTTTGGCTCTCTGTGCCGTTCATTGGATTTAAGCGCTGCTAAGCAGGTGCACCGGATTCTGAGAAGGAGGAAAAAAATATCAGCTTCTTACCGGGTTATTATTTGAAATTCGATCCTTAACTGTCGAGGAAAACACATGCAATCAAAAACGATGGAGTCCTGCTGTCCGCACTGAGGTAGGAACCATTTTTTGAACGATAGGAGAAAACATGAGAGCAGGAAAAGGCGTCTTCCTTTAATATGGTTAAAAATCAGTCAGAATGTGTTTTTATCTGATGCTGTCAGTAGAGGCAGCGGTGTTTGGAGGACAGGCGGCGATGCGCTTTGGAAACATCCTGGATGCAGTGGCCTGTAACAGCGCGCAGCCTCCTCCTCCTCCTCCTGCAGCTGATGCCTCCATCACTCCACTAAAGCAGGACTGTTAGGAAGCAGGATCAGTGGGATGTGAATGATGTGTTACACCAGATGTGTCTGAGTTGTGGGGTTTCTGCTGAGGTGGAAAATTATAATGAGGTAGATATTTTTTTTTTTTAGTTGATCAAGGTTAATGATTCCTGCAGTCAGTGCATTATTTTCTTTTTTTTACCATCTGTATTGTTAATGTGGAATTAATAGTCATAATTGCATCTCTGGGATGCAGACAGTCTGCTGACAGCTCATGCATCAGACCAAATCTTTATCACAATATTATCAAACATCAATAATATAATAAACATTGATTAAATTGTAAAACTCAGACTCTTAGGTTAGAAAATATCGAAAGTGCACTCTAAAATTTCCTTCTGATACACAAAATGATGTCCAGGTTATGTGTGCTCTAAAATAATATTTGTTTTAATATACTCTACAATGTCCTGGATTTAAGTTGGTATTTATCAGGTAATATATTTTCCTCTTTGTCATCTTCATCAATGAAAGGCTTATGTCCTTGAAACGCTTCAAAAGGCTCTGACAAGAAATGATAGGTTTCCTTTCGTTGTTAAGCACACAGTCGCTGTTGTCCTTGGAGACGTGCAGAGCTTTAAAAAGCAGAATTCAATAAACTGCTCTTATCCTTTTCAATACACAGATGATGCTGTTTCATGTAAAAAGCCAACAGTCGCCCATAGATCATTACTTGCTTTCCATTCCTACCCTCTTTTTGTGATTATTGTGATGCTGTGGCACCATCAGTTCAGTTAAAAGGAGTATTTTCATTTAACAAAGGAACTCTCATAGTTTTTTTTTTTTTGTCATTTCTTCAAAAAAAACATGTTCTCAGATATGATATAGGTAAAAAGTGTGAAAAGCATATGTAGCTAATGTGTGGTAAAAATGTAAATGTATTTTTTTGTGTGTAGTAGTATAACTTGAAAAGTTTATAAAAATCAAAACATTATAATAAAGAAAACCACTTGATATTTTGGGAACCCTTTTTCTTGCCAGTATGATATCACTGTGTTCTCCTATGATAGCTATTTAGTTACAAGTGTATGAAGAGAGTGACCTTTGTCCATTTATTTTTGTTAAATATCTCTGCATCTCTTAGAGTACTGGCTCCTGTCTTGTGTCACCGCAGCCATAGTTCTTTTTTGGATTTAGTTCTAGGAACCTATATGCCTTGGAAAGAAGGTACATGTTGTTTTTAATCATAAACCATCATTATCCAAATTAAAGTAACATTTCTTTTGTTTTTTGTTTACTTGTCAAATTGAAAGGGCTATGTTGAAAATGTTCAGTGAAGTCTTGAGTTCCCGAGGTCATCCACTCCAGCCAAGTTTGCAGGGATTTTGGAAGGGAGAAAGACACAGGCCCATATCATCCCAGATCCTCCACCATTAACCTTGACTAGGACAGCTTTTTCCTTATAGTCATCATTTGCTTTGCCACAGACCTACCTGAAATGTTTACTGCAAAAACCTAAACCAAGTCCACAAAGATGTCTGGAGTGTACTGACAAGGAACTTTAGATATTTCCTTAAATCCTCACTGCTTTTCTATTCATAATTTCAATAGAAAGGAATAGAATAACCCTACTGAGAACATTTCTGATTAAAAGGAATCATGAAAAATAGACAAATAGAAGTACACATATGCACAATAAAACAGAAGCCAGTGTGTGCATCATAAAGTCCATGGAAAGAAAGCACTCGACTACTAAATTAAAAGTTCCTGGAAACATTAATTAACTTCAAAAGAATCCATCAAAAATGTATTTCAGGTACATTTATTTTATACTGATTTTTAGAGGAGTACCAAAATTGTGACTTTACATAAAAGTAACTATCTCTTAAATGTAGCGATACTAAAGATTGTTTTTTTTCTCAGTACTAAAGTGTGAAAATATCCTACTGTTGAAAATGTGAATACATTTTCTAACTTGTAACACATCTTTACTAAGATGCCAGGCAATTTATGTCTTAGCTTTTTAAGTGAGTTTCACAGCCTAACATACATAGAAGAAGAGAGATGATTGTTGGACAGGTCCTTAACTAATTAGTTTGGGAATGTTCAGACATAATTAACGTTTTTAGCTGAATGGTGTTTTGTGTCATCCGAGCATTTTTTCACACAGTTTGTGATTTAGAAGGTCTCTGAATTTGGGAAGCATCCAACCTTTGAAATGCACTCTATGGATTTTATTGTAGCTTACCAAGCACATTAAACTACTGGAAAGGCATTTCATTTCAGCTAATTTTATGATATTTATATATATTTATATATTTTGTCTTTACAGCTTCCTTTGCTCCAGTCTTTTTGATGGCGCTCGTTCATGAACCCCATGCCTCCTCCCCCACCCTGTCTGGCTTCAACACACCCATTTCTGACCCACCGTCTTTTCGCCGGCTCGATGCCGAGACCCCCTGTACCCCAGAAATGGACCTCACCCCGACCCAGTGTGTACTCCGGAACGTCCTATCCATAGACACGGGGGGTGCCATAGAGCCTGGAGGAGGACAGGGGAAGACCCTAGGGCACAACCAGACACCTGGCGAGGAACAGCAGGAGCACTTTGCCAACAGTGTTTTGAAACTACAAGAGCATGACGGGAGCAGTGGGAGGAATGAGGGAGAGGGGCAAGAGCCGGACAGCTCTGTGGTCAGGAGCCAGGTGGACAACGCCAGGTTGCAATGCCAATCCACCGGAGGGGGAGGAGGGTTTTTGGAGGGGTTGTTTGGGTGTCTTCGGCCTGTCTGGACTATGATTGGCAAAGCTTACTCTACAGAGCACAAACACGACCTGGACGGTAAGTCTATTTCTGTATAAAGTGAGCAAGCTTCAATAAACTTTGTTGTTAATGATTGCTTTAAGTTATTTATGACAGAAGCCACTATCCTCAATTACATTCCCTAGTTAAGCTTTGATATGCTAATTGAATGATCTTATCTGCCAGTTTAATTACATTAAGCAGTAGGTAGAAAAATGACTCCCACAAAAGCCACGTTGTAAATAAGCACTTTCCCTGACAGGAATGAGCTGCTTCCAGGGTAGCAGACTCTATCAGAGCTGGAGCATGCTCATTTTCCCCTGATACCCCCAACCCCCCTAAACCATCCCATCTGATCTATTTGCCTGCTCGTGCCCACCTCCCACAAGCACCACCCACCCCCTCAGTGAAACCCACTCCCTGTGACGCTGTGTTGTTTATGTCTGCAGCCACTACAAAAGCACAGGGCTCCCCCGAGACTGCTCTTCCAAATCTGCTTCATGAATTATTCATAGCCACGTTCTGACCCCGCACCTCTCATCTCTATTAAAGCAAACCTGACACGCATGCACATGGACAGATGCACGCGCACAGACACTCATCTGCAAACTGAAACACTGATATTAGCAATATAAGTGAAATAACATGCTTAATGTTTTGGAGAAATATTGTACCTCATATAAGAGACAGAGCTGGCAGGTTTACACCCTTCCCTGGCTGTATTGCCTTTCGATGTTTTATCACCCATTGACTTCACTTTTTCCCCTCCTCCCGTCTCATATTGTCTCTGCTTTTCATCCACCTCTTTTATCATCCCCAGTCCATCTGCACCTCTATGCTCTTCTATTCTGTACAACGGTGTGGCTTAAATGAACCACTTTTCAACTTGTAACGATTGCTTACATTCAACATTTCTCAGGACCTGATTGTTTTTTGTGGTGGATATCAGGAGAAACAAAAGGCATCCTGTTACTTATCAAGAGGGTTGGAGGAGAGCTCATGTTTCCAAATCAAAGAAGAGCCGAGGATATTCTCACATGTCAGAGCTGGACTGATGTCTTTACTACAAAAAAATTGAGACGCCCATTAGAGGCGGAGCACTCAATCGATCACTGCTGGGCATTAATCATTCATTTCATCCTCATTAATATGATAAATCTGTCTCAATACAGCTCACTCTACTGCTGTTCTCCCCGGGTTAAGAACAGCAGCAGAGCGAATGGGTTATATGTCTCTTGGATATTAACAGTCATTCTTTACGCACATAGAACACAGCAGTAAGGGAATCCCCCCCCGACCCCACTACCCCAAACTCCCTACTGTCTATTCACTTACCAGCCTCAGTAATACTTTGCCATCTCTCTATACACCCTACGACCAGCCATTAGCCTCTCAAATCCTCTCCATCCTACAAACCCCTTCTGAGTTGTTGAACCCCTGTTTTGTGTCAGCCCCTCAATGGCACTAAGTAGGATTTAGGAGTCTGAGGGAGAATTACCCACAAGAGATTAGAGCTTCCCTGTCTGTATACCGAGTGTCAGGTTAGGAGGTTCATCCAGATATCAGCCATGGTCATATCTTGTTATGGCTTCCTTCAGCTTTTCCATGCTTTACTAAAGGTTAACCTCCACTGAGGTAGTGTTTTTTTTTTATTTTGTAAAAAAAAAAACTGCTTTTATTTTCTGCTTAAGTATTCATATAGGAAATTATCTTGTTTAAATTACATTTTTTACATCTGTTTTCATGTTGTACTTAAAAAACTGATGTCGATAATGACAGAAGTATGCTACAATATCTCTCTAATGTGGTACTGAAATGAAACTGATATTAGTTGTTGGTAACAATAATCCGTCTAAGCAAGCTGTCTTAAAATTTGAAGGCTCTTCTATGCTCTCTGATCTTTCGTTCTTTTAACAGATTTTAAATTGGAATAAAGTTAGATTCTGATCAAGAATGCCTCACTAAATTCTTCCTTTATTAAGTTGTAAGAAGCCTGCTGAGACCATAGTAAAAATCTGTCTCCAACACGATGTTTCCATCTTTAAACATCACTGTTGGTGTATTTGTTATGATGTGTTCTCATAAGATGACACTTTCCCTGAAATTGATTTTGTTTCCATGATATTAAGCATGAAACTTTAATTGATATAAACACACTTTTTCTTCAACAGTGGAGACTTTATCAAGACTTTTGCGGTTGTGTTGATAACTGATTATTTTCATTAAAGAACTGGACTTGCTGCTTCCAAATCTCCTTAAGGCTCTCCGCTAGTGGCCTTGGCTTTTGGCCAACTCCTCTGCTTATGAGTTTTCCTTTTTTTGTGGAAAGGGACTTGAATATTGTTAGTTCATGATGATATATTGTTCTCTCCACTTATAGATTTTGTCTTACTAGGACATTCAGAGCTGCAGAAATATGTTTGAAATCAGTGCTGGTTATTGTTTACGTCAGTTAGCCATGCATTTAACAACTTGATCATACAATTTAAACTGAGAGAGATTAAGAAATTATTTATTACAAAGGATTATTAAATTATCTTGCAACACTTACTGTTGGTGTTGTTTTAAATGTTGATGGCTGTTGGCAGGATGAATATCCTGTAGTTGACTATCATACAGTAGTTCTGAATAGAAGTAGACTAATAAATCATCTGGTTAATGCTTGTATTGTATTCTTGTGGTGGCATGAGCCAATAAATGTATGAGTTGACTAATTCATTAGTATTATTACATTCAGTAGCCATACCAAGATCATGTGAAATACATATATTTTCCATTTCTCCTTTTGCTTTCCATTGAGAAGGTTTTGTTTGATTTTTTAAAATAAATATTTCTTTCTGTTATAACTTAAATATATAAAATTTGTCATTTATTATTGTGTAATTTTTATTATGTAAAAGCAATATCAGGTTGAAATACAGGTCCCCCCAAAAAAGTATTAGCATATAATGTAATGTGTAATGTAAATCCCTTTATTGTGCCTCAATGGGGAAATGAGTTCTCTGTATTTTGACCCATTCCCTTGGGGAGCAGCAGGCTGCCATTGTGTGGCTCCCAGGGAGCAATGAGGGGTTAAGGGTTTTGCTCAGGAACCCAGAGTGGAGGATGTGGGGATCAAACCAGGTACTTGCAAACTTTCCAGAACACAAGCGCACTATTCTAACCCAATAGGCCATAATATATCAGTAATCTGTAAGATTGATATCAAAACTATTGACCTTAAAAAATATATATTTCTGTCAGTCTCTAGTTCTGGAGTGTCTCTGACTAAAGCCACTGTTGTTGTATGACACTCTAATAAAGACATTACATTAACTTTAATGAAGTTAATGAAATATATGGTCTGTTCCTAGTATTGTGCTGCTTAAGGTGGCTGCATAATGGAGTAGCTCTGCTTGATTGCTAGTTTCTCCATTTGTTGATAAGAGTTTCTTTTTTCTGATGGTTTTTGCTTCTGGTTTTAAGTGCTGTAAGACCGGAAAGAATTTTACTGATAGCAATTTTTTTTTTGGATACTTGTGGTGATGTGTAACCACAGCTAACACAGCAAGTAGATTTTTTTTTTTTTTTTACATCCGGGAACAGCTTTTTAATATCTCTAAAGCTGAAATAGTACATCAACTACTTACAAATTACCAGCTAAGTTGAAAAGTAGGTTCCTGAAATGCAGAGCAGGGGCTATAATCATGCACAATGTGAAAACTTTAGGAAAGAAGTTAGAAGAACTCCAACCCTAGCAAAAACCCAGTGACAATATCGGCAATGCAGCAGTATGTGTTTTATTAAAATGTGGCTGCAAGATCATATTTCAGACTCCAGCGTTTCTCTGCCATGTTTTCTGACCATGTGAGCAAATAAAGATTTTAAGACTGGAACATTGAAAGGAGGTGGGTTGGCAGTTATTGTGAACAACAGATGGTGTCATCCATGACATATTACTGTGAAGATTTGTCACTGCAACCCAGATATTGAACTATTGGCAGTTGGTTTCCGACTATTTCGACTACCTGTATTTGCCCTGGGTGTTTACCAGTGTTCTTTTAGTAACCATTTACTAAAACATTTAGTAACAATCTAGTAACCTTCTTCCATTACCACTGAATGTGAGGTAATCAATTATGTTGTTGTTGTTAAGCTCCAGACACATGTGTAGCAATAACTGGTGATTTTAATCACACCTCGGTGTCTGCTACACTGCCATCGTTCCAACAGTTTGTCAGCTGCTATGCCAGAGGAAAAAAATTTGACTTCTTTTATGTAAATGTCAAGGACTCCTACATCTTTAAAGTAAGACCTGCTCTTGAGAAATCAGATCACAATCTTGTCACAATCTCTGCTCAGAGTATAAGCCACTACAAGAGACAACATGCATTAAAAATAACTGTAATTAGATGGTCACAGGAAGCTGAAGAAGCCCTGCAAAGTTGTTTTGCTCCCTCCGCCTTTTACTGTCTGTCTTTAGAAGTCAAGTGAAGAGGAAACTAGTGAGACTAAATTGTAATAAGTCACCAGGTCCTGATGGTGTCATCCACAGAGTCTCGAATGCCTGTGCAGAGCAGCTCTGTGGGATTCTACAACACGTCTTCACCCTTAGTGTGACGCAGGAGGCAGTTCCACTTTTGAGGAAGACCTCCTGCCTTATTCCAGTACCAAAGAAGACTCAGCAAACAGTCCTCAGTGACTACAGACCTGTTTCCCTGACATTATCACTGTGAAAAAGTGAAATAATAGGCTATCAATCAGCTAGCCTTGACCAACCAACAACACTTGGTCAAAAAAATAAGAGGGAATGAAGCAAACAGTGGAATCAAGACATATTATAAAAACAGTCTAACTTAGCTGAGTGGGGGTGCAGTATTTCACAGAAACCATTAGATTATCAAATTTAAATGACTTAATAGGACATCCAACAGTGAGTTCAAGCAAAGACTTTCTGTAGCAAATCTCATTACTTTCCTAACCAAATCCTGTCCAGGCTACATTTCCAAAAGAGAAACAAGGTTTCACTGTAGTTGTCTCCTCCTGGAAAAACTGGAATGTTAGTAAAATGAGTGGACTGGACTGAAATGACAATAAAATTGTCTAAATCTAAGTCTAAAAGGGTAGGTGCAGCAGGGTCAGATCTTTGGTTGCAGCTTGTTAACTAGTTGCAAAACTCAGTCAAGGATATGTGGTTTTTCATGGCTCAATAGCAGTTAGGCAGGCATCTCTTCTGGATTTGATGGAGCTGTTGTTACAGTTTTTTTTAAGGTAAATCACAACACTATTGTCATTCTTTGATTCTCCCAATGACTCATCCAATTCATCCAAGTATTTCTGCAGACAACAGGACTGTCTTGTACTGGAAATGGAAGGTAGAGAAAGAGAGTGAGAATACCCTTCCCTGTGGTGCTCCTGTGCAGCAAATCAGTGCACTGGTGAAATCAAAGAAAATGATCTTTCCAGTACTGTTTGCTTTGTGTAAATTATAGCAGGTTTGTTGAAGCAGGGGTATGATGGCATCCTTAACTCCATGGCAATAAGCAAACTGATAGCAGATTGTTGTTTACTTAAGTGGGCAAACAGGAGTATCTCTTGAAGATGATGCTATAATGATGTTGTAGGTCAGGGCAAGAGGTCTACAGCCATTGAGGCGTGATGGCTGAGTTTTCTTTGGTACCAGGAAAAGGCAGGAGGTCTTCGATAACATGTGTACTGTCATTTGGGTTAGGCTAAGGTTGATAAGGTGCAGCAGAATTTCACAAAGCTGCTCTGCATATATTCATTAAATCTATATGCTAAATAAGATGCTAATGTCAAATAATTTCATATTTCCGTCACCACCTGACCATAGTTTACCACAGTATTTGTCCAAATCATTCATAAATAGTCAGGTACCCATTTTTCTTTAGCATAAAGGAGAGAAGTAATTGTTTTTTGTCATGAAAGTACAAGGTTAGAAATCAGCTTTTGGTTGGACTCCGTGAGCCTCAAAACCACAAATAAAAGACAAAAATCTTGAGGTCTTTTGCATCTTAGAACAACTACATATTAGCTTAATATCATAAAGGAGCACATGTTCGTGCTTCGGTGGTGCAGTGGTAGTGCACACCACCCATATATGGAGGCCTTAGTCTTCGACGTGGCCGACCTGGTTTTGAATCCTACCTGTGCTCCTTTGCTGCATGTCTCTCCCCCTGTCTCATACCCCCTTTCCTGTATCATCATTTGTCAGCCTACAGTCCAAACAACTAGCTACTAGTGCTGTAGACCCCCCTCACCACAACAAAAGGAGTACATAAAAGATAGTGCTTGCCTTTTGTTTTGTAGTAATCAATAAATCAACCGTTTCGAAATTACAGCACTGGCAACCTGGATTTTAAATTGTACAATTTAAGATTAGGTGTAGGGTGGAGGGACAGTGACATTAGGCAGATCCTATGTTCAGGCTTGGGTCATATGGGACTGACAGAAAAATCCAGGGAGGAGCAGAGGCAGAAAGACTTGGTCGAGAGGCAAGGCAGGAGGTCGATGTCCAAAGATCAGAAGTCCACAGCAGCATCCGACAGGAGAGATGCAAGGCAAGCCAAAAGCAGGAACAAGACAGGTTAAGATAAGGAGGTCAAGACAAGGATTGTTGGATGATTAACTCATACAAACAGCTTGCAAGGACTTGATGGTTACAGACAGGAAGAGCAAGGAATATATAGTGATCATTCCAGGTGAAGAAACTCCTGGTAATTGGAGCTGCCACAGGTGTAACCGCTCAGCCCTGATTGCGTGTCCAGAGGTAGCAGGGACTGAGACTGCAGACAGCAGCTACACAGGCAAGACAGGAATCGTTACATCGCTGGCTCCTTTAAATCAGTAATGAAAACATTCCTGTTTACTAAAGTTTGAGGACAAAATCAAAAAATTTTCAATCTCAACATTTCTTGTTTTTGGTCATGCTCGTTGCTCATCGTTTATATGTAAAGTCATTTCAATTAAACTGTATTGATAATGGGAACCCTTAGGCCTTAATTTATAGACTGTTTTGCAATGTTTGCTCAACTATCAGTCCCTGTAACATTAAAATGTATGACAAATAACAGTATACGGACTGGTTTTAATTCCCTTGTATGTATGGGTTGTTAAGAATATCTGAAGCAAATTAAATGTCCTGCTGCACATAGATTTAATGAGAAAAGACTGTATTTGATGATTTCTTTCAATTGATATAGCCTACCCTATATTTTGTATTACATGCAGTAAAAACTGTATGCTTTATAATATTACATTTTAAAGCAAGTCATCTTTGAAAAAAGGTTTAAGAAATCTCTAAGATCTTCTCCTTGGCCTTATTAAAGTGAAGCAAGACTCACTAAGAATAGAAAGAGGATTCTCAGACACAGTGTTGCCTAAGTGTTTCATCATTCAAGTTCAACTGATCTGTAGTCAGTAGAGGTCAGTGCAATGATTACACTGTATTTATAACTCACATGCTGCTACTTACCGGGTAACTTCACCTAGAGCTTCTTCATTATCTTTTTGTCTCTTCAGAGGAGTGGGAAGTTCCTTTTGAGGAGATTTCTGACCTACAGTGGGTGGGCAGCGGAGCCCAAGGTGCTGTCTTTCTAGGCAAACTTCACGGGCAAGAAGTTGCTGTGAAAAAAGTGCGAAACATAAAAGAGACTGATATCAAGCACCTGCGGAAGTTAAAGCATCCCAACATCATCACTTTCAAGTAGGTAGACGTGATTAAATGGCTTTTTAGACTAGATGACAAACTTCTGAAGACATTAATAACTGATTTAAAATTATTTTCTTGATTTGATATCACTCGATAATTTGAAAAAAACTATAAATTAACATATTTTTAAAAAATGTATTTTACACATAATTCGACAATACTTTTTGAAAAATATTATTTCTGTTTTGCATGTATTATATGTTAAAGAAGTATATATTTACTTTTCCATTTCAAAGGTCGGAGCTGCAGCACAAATTGTATCTATCAGCCATATTGATCTCAGTCAGTGCACTGTCACTGCTAAATACATGGTGATTGGCCTATGTATGTATTTCATATGCAGGGCATGTCAACCCATGATTTGTCAGGGTCTGTTTCACACAATAGTAGTTACCTCCTTAAAACTACTGGTCTTCTTTTTAGATTTTACCAGATAAAAAAATAAGTTTTGTCTAAACGTTGTTAGGTCTATTTTAAGGGACAATGTTTTATCAAATTTAAGACATAAATTATGGAAAGTGAGCTTCTGTGAGAATCCTAAATTATGCATGCATGCATTACAATGACTGCTTTGTTTCAAGAAATTATTAAAGTAAGAAGTTTTGTCACAATCTTTCTAAAGATAATTTTTGCTCAATCAGTTGTTAATGTTTTATAAGTAGCTGGTTAAAGAGGGCATTGAAGTGTAAATTGGCAGTACAGCTGAAACTTATAAGCAAAATTATGATAAAAAAAATAAAATGGTGAGGCAAATCTTTCAATTTCACTGCAAAACAAAAGAAAAATAAGCAACAAAAAAGGCAAGGGCCCCTCAAAAAAGAGATGTTTCATCTCAAGGGAATATCATTTAAATAAATTTCCCTTTCAAAACTCTGGGGGAACTCCACTTGATAGCTCTGCATATGCTATGCTAAATAGTATGATGTCTATTTAAATCGAATGTATTCAAAATGTCTCATAAATATTTCTTTGTTATGTTATTTACTTACCTAAAGGCCTCCAGAACAGGGGAGCAAAACTTAAGTTTTATTATTGACATTTTAGTTTAAAAAACATTTTCTTTGTTTTTTCTCAGAGGTATTTGTACTCAGGCTCCTTGCTACTGCATCATCATGGAGTACTGTGCTCAGGGACAGCTGTATGAAGTCCTGCGAGCGGGCAGGAAGATCACACCCTCCCTGCTCATGGACTGGGCCATGGGCATCGCCGGGGGCATGAACTACCTTCATCTGCATAAGATCATCCACAGAGACCTCAAGTCACCCAAGTTAGTTTGCTAAAAATCCACACGTTGACCACAGCAGCACGAGCTTAACGTAAGAATAATAATTAGGTAAAAGTAGGTTCAACATCATTTATCCATGAAAGAGGTAAAGTGTCAACACAGATTAAGAGAACTGAGCAGCTATTTTTCCCATTTTACCAAGAAAGCTACAGATTTAGTTGTCAACATGCTCAGGATGGTGACCTTGAGTTTAAAAAAAAAAGAGAGAAATTTCAAAGGCCTTGCAAGCCTTTGTAATTATTATGTTTTACGGAAAAAAATTACTTTGATATAATATGAGACTAAACTACTAACAGATTAAATGAAGTGATTTTAATTGAACATATATATTTTATTTCAGCATGCTCATCACCTATGATGACGCAGTGAAGATCTCTGATTTTGGAACATCCAAGGAGCTTAATGACAAAAGCACCAAGATGTCTTTTGCTGGAACTGTGGCCTGGATGGCTCCTGAGGTCATCCGCAATGAACCCGTTTCAGAGAAGGTGGATATTTGGTAGGTGTCATGACCCTCTTGAACTTTGCTTTTCCTCTTTGTGATCCCTGATGATTTGTCTTTTCAGTCACCAAATCAGCATAGAATCTCATTAGCGTCAGTCTACCAGCGCAAAGGATCCTATTTCTAGAAAATCTATTCAGCATGATGTATAATATCTCATTACATGAAACTCTATAGGGTCTCCACCATATCTGATGGGTAGCCCTATGTTAAGCTTTATTCCCCCACCACCCTACATTTTCTACCTCCCTATTTCTCCTTTACTACAATCCCTCCTTCTTCCTCTCCATCCTGAAAGGAACGCCAGCTAATTTAATAATTGATCTGCCAGATGCTGCAGTGCTCAGGAGAGGCTGGAATAACCTTCCAAGCCTTCGGATGGGTTGGCCCTCGGCCAGCAGTGCATTAGCTGGGAGTGAAAATAGGATTAAAAAGCTTTTGATGTAAAAAGAAAGCAAAGCCAGGGCGTGTAGTGTACATTTTTGCTGAAATCTATGTAAATCATTTGAAAGGAGTCCATAGCACAAAATGAGTAAGAAAGCAGCATGTTGGGGTTAAGCATTGTCAGATGGTACACATATGGTGTTTTTAGTGTTTTAACAATGAACAGCGGCTGGGCATAATTCCTTTTAGGTAAACAAATGAAAATTAGAAAATGTAGCTATGTTTAAAAAATCTATTTTGAACTGAGCTAACAACCTCATACCACACTGTCAAATTAAGCTAGAAAACCCTAAATATGTTCTTAGAAAACGTAAATCATTTACAGCCAAAATGATTCACAAAATGACATGGATGTAATATATTTCAGATGAAAAATTCGTCACATAATTTTTTTTTTTCTACAAATCATCAATCATTACCAGGTCCTGTTTCAGACAAAATTGGCCATGTAACCACAGCTGGTGCTTCTTCAAGATATTGCTGAAAGCTATAAATAATAGATTTTAATGAAAACATTCTGGGAAATCTTTTGGAAAGCTGATGGTAACATAAGAAACACAGCAAATTTATTGTAAATAACACAGTAACATATATATATAAAAAGTATATACATATATATATATATAT